AATTAATTTATTTGTGTATTTATTGAGTATGTAGCATCCAATTTCTTTATTTTTATTGCCAACCCAAGAACTAACCGATTTCTTCTATATGAGACTTAATAAACTGAGTAAATGTTTCTTTCTTTCTTCTTTAATGAGATTTTTGGAGTAGTGGAATCTCAAAAATCTCCTAATTTATCAAGAAAATGGTTTAATAAAAACAGCTTATCTAACTAGTTGATGTCACGTGATTATTTTAATCAATAGAAAGCTCACTTGCCTCTTTCACAAGAACATGCATTATATACATATTTTAGCTATAGTTAAAATAATAATAATAAGAATAATAATAATAAAAATGTTATTTTTATTTTAATAACATGCATATATACATATTTTAGCTATAGTTGAGTAAATAATTATCACTAACTATAGGTAGGTGTCTTACCACGATACGAGTTCTTTTTATTTTCCCGATATTTCGGAACGGTTACACTTACTAAAATATTTTATATGCCCGTAAAAATATACATAATTAGAAATAAGATATCCACAATATTAATCTTAGAGCCAAGTCCAAACTCATGATACCACGATTTCGTTTAACCAAGTAAACGAGTCTTTTGTGCGGAACTATATAAGTTTTTACAATAAGATTCTGGAGCATATTAAGGTTATCATTTCCTAAGTTTAAAAACTACATTAAGAATATTTTGATTGAAAAGTCATATTACAAAATTGAAGACTAAGTGCTAGATAAACATATATGGAAAGACGACATGGCTCTAGATTCCACACAAATTTGATTCAACGTGTATTCCATAGCATTTATTTGAAAAGAGCAATCCCTAGAGTTTCTTGCTTGTTCTTCTCAGGGAACGAGCAGTAGCTTAAATGTGACGTTTCAAATGTAAATTTATTTTACCGATGGAATAAATGATTCTTTGACTTTGACTATGACTTTGTTACACGCTACATGGTCATGGGTTGACTCTACAACACGAAAACAAATTAAACACGAAAGTCTTAAAATCTGTATAGCAGTGTAATGTGAAAAAAAGGAACTTTATTATTGATATACAAGATGACTGCGGGATCGTGTGGGAACACAATTAATTATGACATATGTATATATTAGGGGTTAAAGTATGAAGTTGCCGTTTTATTGCAATAGGCTCTTTGAATTTTCATAGAATCTTCATCGTTTGAGGTTTTCGAATGAAACTTTTTTCAAATGGTTTCTGTGATTTTTTTTTTTAAATTTGAAACATTTGAATATCGACTTTCAATTGTTTTTGTTATTCAATTTAGACAAGAAAGATGGATACTGCGAAAATTCGAGTGATTTTTGAATACGAGTTCCGACGCGGAACTAACGCGGCAGAAACAGCCCGCAATATCAATGCTGCGTTTGGAGAGGGGTCTACTAATGAACGCACCGTGCGATTTTGGTTTAAACGCTTTCGTGATGGAAATTTCGACTTAAAGAACGAGGCACGAGGAAGACCGCCCACACAGGTGAATAACGATGATTTAAGAGAGATAGTGGAAGCCGATCCTAGTCAAACTACCCAGGAATTAGCGGCATGGTTTAACGTTACCTTACCCACAATATTGACTCACTTGCGTCAAATCAATAAAATAAAAAAATACGAAAAATGGGTGCCTCATGATTTGACTGATCTGCAGAAAGAAACGCGTGTTGAAACTTGTGTTGCCTTGTTGAACCGGTACAGAAATGAAGGAATATTGGATCGAATTGTAACATGTGATGAAAAGTGGATTCTTTATGATAACCGGAAAAGAAAAATGCAATGGCTGACCCCAGGTCAAATGCCACAACAGTGTCCTAAAGCAAAACTTACCAATAAAAAGGTAATGGTAACTGTTTGGTGGTCTCAGCATGGTGTTATTCACTATAGTTTTCTCCGATCTGGTCAAGCAATAACGGCAGATGTCTATTGTGCCGAACTCCGAACCATGTTGACAAAACTAGCAGTAAAACAGCCCCGACTCATGAATCGATCTTCACCATTATTGCTCCACGACAACGCGAGACCTCACACAGCACGAGAAACCATTTTGACCCTTCAGGAACTGCAGTTAGAAACCATTCGTCATCCTCCGTATTCACCAGACCTTGCTCCAACGGACTACCATTTTTTTCGTGATTTGGACAATTATCTACGTGACAAGAAGTTTTCTTCCCAGGAGGCAGTACAAAATGCTTTCACACAGTTTGTGCAGTCTAGATCGTCGGAGTTCTATCGCAAAGGCATTAATAACCTTCCCATTAGATGGCAGCAATGTATAGATAATAATGGCAACTATTTTGATTAAATAAATTTGTTAAAAATTTAAAAAATAAACAATTTAGATTTTCGGCAATTTCATACTTTAACCCCTATTATTATAATCCCATTAGGAACAACGCATTTCCTTTGACAACATAAAGGCATAACTTTTTGTCATGCAAATAAAAAATAAAAAAAATATTCTTGTTACTTCTGGTGATTCGAAGTTACATCAAATTACTTTATTTGGTGTCACGACTTTGGCACAACTTGATAATTTCTTACTCGTCTCATCAATTTGCTTTCAAAAAGGTTTTAACATGAAATGTTAAAGGTGTCCTTAATGTCAGTTTTAATTTGGGATTCATAATAATGTATTAATACTTAATAATACGCTGTACTGTAATTATAAAAGAAAACACTATACTAATGAAAATGCAATCATTTGCTGAGTTACATACTCTTATGCCTATCTCCCACTGGGGCAGACCATCGATTATATGACAAGAAATAGAGACGAAATGTCATTTAATTGGTTTGAAAACTATTCTGCCATATCATTACTGTGACAACTGCGCTCCGATTGGCTAGCCCGACTTCGAAACAATTGACGGTTGTCGTCAATGTGTGTCGTCAACTGTTTCACTTCAAATCGACCAGTTAACTGGAGCTTTGCTATAATGGACGAAAATTGCAAAATTACATATTTAATATTTAATTACCGATGAAATGTGATTCCGTTTGTTTTGGAATTAGATGTTTTGCTGTTTTTCCCACACCACCGAATAGAACAGCACGGCATTGTTAGAGATATTATCTTTATTACAATAAATACAGAATATTTTTTGGAATATACGTAGACGTACACACAAGTCAGTAGTTGGCCTGTCTAAATTTCGGTGCAAACAGGAGTTGATATTTATAAGAGATGTATCGCTAATGTTACCAGGAATATACGGCCCTTTTTTCGTCTCTATTTCTGGTAATATACTCGATGAGGCAAACACTATGAACATTCACTGGCTACGTTCCTGACGTACCTTTTTCGCTTCTGCCTCACGCGTCAGTCTTCGTACACTTTTTTTTATTCTGGCTACATTAGACCTAGCATTTTTATAAAGACAAATAAAGATAATTTGTAATCAATGTACGACTTATTTTACAGGACCTTTAAGTAAAATTCCTTGTCCACCTAATAGGACTTAATTTTCCTAACTTTATTTAATACTTTAAATAAACACTGCATAGGTAAAATTGCTCGCAATTGAGCCTTCAAATTGCTTGGACTTTTTTGCTGTTGATTCATAGTCTACTTTTGGTGTAGCTAAGTGAAAAATGGCCTTAACACCCAGCCCCGATAATGTACGAAGCAGAACAATCCATCAGGGGTGCGCCGGAAACACCTCCTACCCTTAAAGAGCAATACCATTTTATTTTTGTGCTCCCACCAGGGCAATCCACAAACACCTTCTAGTAAAGTGTATAGGTAGTTACAAAAACTTCTTCTGTTAAATATTGTCGAGTAAATTTCAAATGTTACTACGCGGAAATAAAATGGATATTGATTTTTAATGTCGTGAATATATGAATTAGATATGTTAGTGACAACTGCACGTGTCCCTTTTTGCAGAAGATTTGCATTCAACTGTATGGTACTTACGGTAAGGCTGTATCAAGTCCAAACTACAGCGTTACTTTTTTTTAATAACTTTTTCTATCTACTTTATCTAATGATAGTGATTATCAAATATATTCTAATTTCGAATAATTGAGATTGCACCTAGTGATATGAATGAATGAATAAAGTAACGATGCGATTTATATCCTTAAGACTAACAGTAATGTTACATATAAGGAAAGTAAACACAATATCATATAAAAATATAAATATTCCGCTCCAAATCCCCTTGGATCAAAACCCCGAGCGAAAATTTAAATTCCAATATGTGTCATATCTCAAAATACTAATACGAAAGTTCCATGTCATGGCAGATGAGATTGCAAACCATGGTAGCTCCCTAAAGGACCGTCCCGCCGCAATTACCTTCCCTTCGCCTCGGGCGGGAATTTGACGAAAAATCGTTCGCCATGCGTATGTGTATGCCATTTAGACATGTACATAAGGATATTCGTGAATTGTAGCGCCGCAATTTTCATCGTTTCGTTTGGAATTTCGGTTGTTTTACAAAATGCTAATAGCTTATTGACTTTTACAGCAATGTTTAAGCTAGGTACCTACTAAAATCTAACTGTCAACCTTTTTCATTATTACTGCAAAAGAAATAAAATTCTAAAGCGATTTATTTTCTTTTTTCAGATCATAGAAAGAAGGATATGGATAGGAAACAGTCCAACACGTGGACAAAACAGAAATGAAACAAAGAACTAGGAAGAAAGTTGTACAAATTTGGCTTAACCAAATCGGTTTATAGCCAAAACTCAGCTCAAAAGACATGTAAAGAGACGCTAAAACATTTTATGTAACTGTCATATCGTTTAGCATATCTCGCAGACCTAACGAGAGCTACAAGACATATCTCATCTTCTATGCTAGTCACCTTTTTGTGATTATAGATATTATAAACTATTGCTCAAATTCTTTAAAATATTTTCGACTTTAGTCCTCTTAGAGATTAAGAAGACTAAACCTACAAGGAGATGAACTGACAGACTTGTTGGAAGATAAAAACAATATAGTAGAAATATAACTTGAAGGGAAGAGTGACTATGAAATATTACAGTATGTTCTTTATAAGAAGGCGGACGTGGGTACTGAAGGCGGTACTTATTCTGACAGCTCTATGGTTTACGATTGCACTGCTGACTACTAATGGGGGGACGAGAAGCGCTGCTTTGGTGGGGCAACCGCCGATAGAGTACGAAGATGCAGAAGCGAAACCGATTAAGCCAGCAAAGCCTACTGCCTTAAAAAGAAAAAGTGAAGCATATATTAATAACATATCTGATGGTAAGCACATTACATTCATCTTGTGAAGAAATAGTAAATATGCATGAGCTTTGGTGGTGTTGGTGTTAAACAATTGTTTCTATAGCCGTAAAATATGCATGCACTAAATTTATTCATCTAGTGCGTTAACTGTGATGATTTATGAAATTGCGAAAACAAAGCGAAACCTTTTATAATTTTGCACTACTAAATTTCTAAAGCGAAGTCAGTGAAACAATTGCTACTGAAAATTAATAAATTCCATTATTTCAACAAAATAATCAACTTCCCTAAACTAATTTACGTTCTGCTCCGCAGAAGATAATTGCTTTTAATTTTCAAGAACTTCCCCGACTACGATTGTCTTTGGGCTAATGTATGCAATAGGAATGGTAATAACGGAAGATGTTAGACTAGATTCGTATTTAAGTTTTCTCTACGGCACACTAAGTTCAACACAGTAACACGCATTCACGCATTGACTTTCTACTTGTTCTCTTGCATAAGTTTCTATTACTTAGTTTAATTTATCAATTTGTCTTAACAATAGCGTTATGCAAAGATTATAGTTTGTGCTAAACTTTGGCAGCCAAAAATTTTGTTAAGTTACAGTTTTATTCTGAAATATGTGTTACTTTTTGTTTTCTACATACGCATCTACAAAACACTATTTATATGCTCTTTATTGTTTGACTGCTAAAGATCAGCTTTGTGTGACGCTTCTATAATTTTTTGATATTATGCATGACTCTATGTTTATACACGACAGGGCCTCAATCAATCAATTGGTTCAATCGCATCGTTGCCAGTGAAGGTACGGGAAATTGCTTATTTTTAGTTTAATTTAAGCTAACCATATTTAAAGTAGGTATCTTGGCAGCTTGTGATTTAAAGTTGTTGGTTACTAAAAAAATTAAAATGCATTAAATCAATTATGCCTTGCACTGCTTGGTACGTGTGGTGACGGACTCCTCTGTGGTAAGAGTGATTATAGTAAATAGTCAGTTTGGCCCAGAAAAATAATATCGTCATTGCAAATTATTTATTCATATTCTGCACAAGAACTATTAGTAAACCTCCGCTAGAAATTACGAGAATTCATAAATTGTATGTAATTGCGCACGCAAAGTTGCACCTAAACATTTAACCTTAAAGAAAATAACTACACTGTAAAGTTATGTCACAATGTTAATGACAAAATTGTACCGTTTTGTGCGCCGTAAATGGTAAAAGTGATAACATGTCCAATGACAGCGTAGTGCACATCCGTTTTTCACTGCGTGTGTGTTTAAGCTTGTACTAATAGCGTACATCCTGCAGGCCTTGGTGTGATAGCTGCCCCTGGGTCGGTCGATGCCCCCGGTGAGCTTGGCAAACCGGTCATATTGCCGAAGAACCTGACCGACGATGCGAGGCAAGCAGTATCTGAAGGCTGGAAAAAGAATGCCTTCAACCAGTATGTTAGCGATCTCATATCAATTAAGAGGAAACTACCGGATCCAAGAGATGAATGGTAAGAAAAATATTTTACAAAATAACACTCTCTTTCAAAATAACAAGCTCTTCCAAAAACACTTAATCGATTCTATAAGTTCTGAACTAAAGGTAAATTAAATTTTTAACTAAGAAAGTAAAGGGCGAAATGTCCAACGAGATTACTCTTAGGGTAAAACACATCTGTAATTCAGGAATGTTTAGTGATATCTTGAACTCGTTTGAGCGAAAGCTAAGAGACCTATAAGCATTACCTGTGGATTCGAATCTTTAAAATCTCGATCACCGTAGAAAAGTGCTAGCTTGTCGGTTTTCTATTTGATATATGTTCGAGAGTATGCGCAGGAGCTTTATGACATTGTTCCGCTTTTGGTTGGCTAAACAGTCATCCGTATCCATCATTGATAGGACACACATTCGCACGAGTGCTTTGCTTCCTCTTCGGACATCATTATTTCCCGGATACTTCAATTTGGGGCTATTCAGGGTTACTATGAATAGGCATTTTTTAAACAAACGAGTACCATCGACGCTTAACATCAGATGAGAATGTGGCCCAGTATGTGTCTGTTTTACATTAAAAGCAATATTTAAATATCCTTACTTGCCTTCTGCGACTTTACTGTTCACAAACCTTGAATTTGGTTATACATATTATTTGGAAGTTTTATTATTTTGCCATCAATCCTGTCTTTAATGTCGCTAAATTGATTATTTTTAGTAAGTACTTTCTTCTCAAATAGGTGCAAGACGCCGGGAAGATACCTAGATAACCTTCCACAAACATCTGTAGTAATATGTTTCCACAACGAAGCGTGGTCTGTGTTACTTAGAACTGTGCATTCAGTCCTGGATAGATCACCTGAACACTTAATTAAGGAAATCATACTTGTTGACGACTTCTCGGATATGCGTAAGTATAAATAAATAATGGAACTTGTCAACTTTTTTGTCTTTTTGTGCTATTTTACTACCATGATATTCATTATTTTTTTTAATTATTGCATTTTATATCCAAATATTATTGTATTAAAATTTCTTTGTTTACTTATGCCTATTGTATTTTATATTACTAAAAATGCAAAAATTTAATTCTTAAATATAACTGAATCTTTTGCCATTCTATTTTCCTATTAGATCCATATTATTTAAAGTAATTCGTATAGAAAGCAATTGTTAGTTCTACTATATGTTAAATACTTTATTGTAAATCGTCATCACATCGTTACAGCTCATTTGATGCAACAACTAGACGATTACATGTCTGCTTTACCCAAAGTACGAATAGTTCGAGCAACTCGACGAGAAGGACTTATTAGAGCCAGACTTCTTGGAGCGAAATATATCACCGCACCTGTTCTGACTTATCTTGATAGTCATTGCGAATGTGCCGAAGGTAATATAGAAGTGAAACATTGTTTTATTGTTGTATTTGAATAACTGTGACTAAACTTCATATTCCCTTACAGGATGGCTCGAACCACTTTTAGATAGAATTGCTAGAAATAAAACAACAGTTGTATGTCCAGTTATCGATGTTATAGACGACAACACGTTGGAGTTTCACTATAGAGATTCAACGTCAGTTAATGTTGGTGGGTTCGATTGGAATCTTCAGTTCAATTGGCACCCAGTACCACCTAGAGAGCGAGCAAGGCATTCCCATACAGCTGAACCCGTTTGGTCTCCTACAATGGCTGGAGGTTTGTTTGCAATCGACAAGGAATTCTTTGAGAAATTAGGAACTTATGACAGTGGTTTTGACATTTGGGGAGGAGAAAACTTGGAGCTATCTTTCAAAACTTGGATGTGTGGCGGATCACTGGAAATAGTGCCCTGTTCTCATGTTGGTCATATATTTAGGAAACGATCGCCTTACAAGTGGAGAACGGGTGTAAATGTGTTAAAGAAAAATTCAGTTCGATTAGCAGAGGTATGTTTTGTTAACTTTATTTGCTCCAAATATTATTTTGTCATTTTTTTAAAAGTACATACATATTAAAATATTTTTTAAAGGTTTGGCTTGATGATTATTCGAAATACTACTATCAACGCGTTGGTAACGATAAAGGTGACTACGGAGACATCAGTAGTAGAAAAGCTCTCCGAGAAAAGCTGGGATGTAAATCGTTTGATTGGTACCTGAAGAACATCTATCCTGAGCTGTTTATTCCTGGAGAATCAGTAGCTAATGGCGAGGTATGTCATTTGTTTTATACATTAAATACGTACATAATATTTTTTGTCATCGAAAGATCCGTAAGATTGTTTTCTATTTGAAGAATAATATGTTCATTGAAATTAGTTTTAACGTGATTTCTTCAAAATTATTCACCTGCACAGATCCGAAATGTGGGCTTCAATAAGATTTGTCTGGACTCTCCAACGCGCAAGACTGATCATGATAAGCCCGTTGGAATTTACCCGTGCCATCGACAGGGAGGAAATCAGGTTTTCTGTCGTTCTCAATTCAGCATAACGCGGCAGTACCACTTTGCAGGAGTTTGGCACTTTAAGATTTTCAAGCACTGATTCAGCACGTGGCACATTAGTACAATTTCAATGCATGAACTCATTTTTGTTTTTTTTTCTTGAACACAAATACTATTAGGTTCGCAATCTAGGCTTTCCTGAAAGGTGTATTGATGGAGAATCAGTCGATGATGTGAACGAAGATGAATTGCTCACAGTACATCCGCATAAATGCCATCACGCATTTGGCAACCAGGTATCACTTAATGAGTGATATTGAAGGGGTGTGTTTTCTGTAGAACTTATGAACTCATAACGGAATTACGTATTAGGTATTTGACAGGGTTATCAAAAGGTTTTTTTGTGTCTCATTTTAAGCACCCGTAAATGAAAAAATATCACATCACAGTTTTATTTCATTTTCATGGCTGCAATCAAACTGGCATTATCACTTGTGCTTTGTCTGCGTGATTCACAACGCAATAAGCTATTGATGCTTACACAAATAAGTACGGTCTGAAAAAAAAAACTGTTGTGATTACGAGTCCTAGCTAATCGACTTCTGAAAGCTTGAAGTGATGATGCCAAATTGACACACTTGCTTTGGCACGCCTTTATAACTTGTGGATGGCATCAGATCCAGAATGGATGGTCGGAAATGTGTATCGACTCGCCTGCGGCTCCCGAGGATCTCAAGCGCCCAGTCAACGTTTGGCCTTGTCACGGCGAGTACGGCAACCAGGTTTGTTAGGCCGTCACTATTTCACTCTCACTAATGCTTGCTTTCCCAAAAGTTGGTGATTGGTGCATCATTATTCTATTAGGGCTAACTTTTACTACAGTGATATCTCGTAGGATTGTACATTTAATATCATATTATCAGCAAATTAGATAAACAGTTTTTTTGTACATGTAGGTCATTATTATGATTCTTACGAAACGTTTGACGCTGTAGCAAAGTAATGCCTTATTAGCACTAATGCAGTGTTATTAGAACGGTATGACAATTAGTAACCAACCATAAATAACCTTCATTACGTTTTTGTTAAGGTATCTTTCACATTTTTTATGGGATTCCAGGTATCGTATATATACATTGATCGTGAATGTTTTATTACTTTTGCAATTTTGGTACTGCCGCCACGTATTATAGTATTTAAGTTTATTTTAATATTTTTATTAACACATTACCTTTGTAGGATAAGACTAATCTTTAACAGCTGATGTCTTTTTTATTTTTATTAAACATCAATGTAGAATATTTAAGATGTACCTTGAAATGTATCGACCTATTGTAAAAAAAAATTTCTTTGCCATCTTTTTGTCTTGGGTGAAGGGTTCCTTCTGTATATTATTTTACGTTATTAGTTGTGATTAGGACGATGGATTGTTTTTTTTTTTCAACTTTACACTGCATTGTAAAACCACACTGAGTTAATTATCAATCATTTAAAAAGTAGAATCATGCAACGATCATCTAAAGAATTGCCATCATAATAATATGCACATGACTTCAAAAATCAGTATTAGATGTTTTCTGTAAAAGTATATCATTAAAATTAAAAACAAAAAAATTATTGTAATATAGATTTATTTAATTAAATACATGACACACTTTTGAAAAACTTGACGACGAATTGTCGATAAATCATAGAAAAATTTAAATTCTTTTTCTTTTCTCATACACAAGTAGCAGCGTAAAGAACTCAAAGTACATTATAGATTTCATACTTATTTATGTTTCAGTACTGGATGTATTCAAAAACCGGTGAAATTCGCCGAGATGAGACTTGTTTGGACTACTCCGGTCGAGATGTCGTCTTGTACCCTTGTCATGGCGCCAAGGGTAATCAAATGTGGCTATATGATCCCGGGGTCAGTATTCTATAAATTTGTTTTTTTAGTGCTGGGTATTTCTTCTTTTTAACCGATTTCAAAAAACGAACAGATTCTCAATTCGTCTGTTTATTTTTTTGTATACATGTTACGCATTTACTCCAACATTTGTGAACCGATTTTTTCCAAAGTGGTCCTATTCAAATTTGAAGAAAATATTCCACCTGTAAGGGTGGCAAATTAGCTGATGAATCCGGTTTATTGTATTTCATTCACTTTCCGTTAACCGATTTCAATAAAATTTGGCACATAGATGTAATTGAACTGCCTCTGTGGCCGATCGGTTACCATGCCGGACTGCCACGCAGAGGTCCCAGGTTCGATTCCCGGGCCGGGAGAAATATTTCTATGACCTACATTTATTTCTCTCGTGAGTTTCGATGTAATTTGTGGTTGTCTATGTTCCATAGTGCGGGGCTATGTTGAGTGTGTGCGTTATTATTATTATTATAAAATTTCAATGACAATAAAACTTTCAATGCAAATCCGCGTATGTAGTATTGGTAAAAGGCACGTATCTGCACCAAAGCCAAATTTACAGGAAAGGGATTTAACGTTACTATTTTGTTATTTCAATGGCTCCGGCTTTCATTTTTGCACAGTAAACACCAATATATGTTGTCGACGGACTGATAACAACTGATCTCTGTAAATCACGCTAATTTGGTTGTTACGACATGTACGCGGATTTGACTTGGCCACTGAATTACCGAAATGGAAACTCATAATCCAATGCTAGTTACGCGTAATTGCACTATCCCCGACGTTATATATTTGCTCCGTATTAAATTTTGCTGTCAAGTTCTTCTCCCAAACAGTGTAATTTCAAAAATAAGTGGTTACTGGTGATCTATGGTTACTTTTAATATATTGTTATAATATTATTTTTTCAAAAAGACATTAAAATATAATATTTCTTAAATTTCAGACGAAGTTAATAAAACACGGTTCCAGTGAAAAGTGCATGGCCATAAATAAGGCTAAAGACAAGATCGTAATGGAGGCATGTAACGAGGAAGAACCTCGACAGATGTGGAAGATGGAGAACTTCAACCCTGACAGACTATCACCTGAACTAACGGCCGAGTAGCCAGAGGCCTATGATGAGGTGTTGTTCATATAAAACACTCTCAAAAACTAAAGACTCGATATTGCGAGAACCTAAAAAGACAACGTTGAAATTTTGTGCGTGACTAGTGTTACTCTAACTCACTTGTTAATGAACGCATCGCTTGATTCAAGTTTTACGTGACCTAAGTGTACCATAATATTTTCTTATAGTGAATGGAGCCGGAATGTCGCTTACGAGTGAATTATATTTTATATTTGGGCGTGTAAGTGTAAAAATTAAAAATGTAGATTCACTTGTTAACCCCATGTTCACTGGACTAGGCCTAAATTTAAACGGACAGACTTTGTTTAATGTTAAGTTTCTAAATTCACGTGTTTCTAATATATTTTCAATATAGAGTTAGATAACTTAATTGCTGCCGAGTGTAAAATTTTATCAATTTTTAGAAATCCTGAATAAGGGATAGTGGTTTATATATTCGTTTTATTTGAAACATTTATTATTGTTTTTTGTTCTAAAATTTTATTGTATTTGTACAAAATTAAATGTGCTACAATAGTATTCGCTATTAAAATATGTTATTGTACTAAATAGATTTTCGTAAAAATATCATTCTGTACATATCTTACTACCTAAGTATGTATTTATTAGACTAAATAAAAAGCAATGTATGTATTTATCAGAAATTATTTTGTTGTAATTGCTTGTTTGACGTAGTATTAATTATGTTGGATTTTGTTGATGTTGTAGGATTACACAAAAAGTGTAGTAACACTTTAAGTTAACATTATACACTAGAAGACTGCGTGTAGCGGGAACCAACGATTCGACATCTAAATGGTTCTCTTTACTATACATTTTGTTATCGAATAGTAAAAGGAAAAATGCTATCATATTTTGGAAATGCTATCAAAGTACTTCGATACGTTGAAAGTACGACTCAACGAACATCCACAGCCCGATGTCACTCGCTGCTAGGACCTCGCGTAATTTGTGCCATCCACTATGATTTTGCGCTAGTCTCATCTACGATCCGCTACTCCGTTGTAGTCTACTCATCTGCTGCAAAAATTTTCCACGTTTCTGTAATATTTTTTTATCTATCATTCGGTTGTCACTTTATTCCATCTGTCAGCACTAGTGGTCAGTTAATCGGATGCTTATTTACATACAATCAGGTTGCTCGCTTACGTGGAATACGCTGTTGTATCGAAAAAATCCCGCGTCTCATGCTTTGACGAAATTATGAAGTATTAAGAAAAGAAATTGTAATTTTAATCACCATCGTACGATCGCATAAGTTTAAATCGGACACTTCTAGCTGTACAAAGCATTGAGATCCAGTATAGAGAGTATATTCTTGCTCGTCACCTTAAGCTTTATAGTGAGCCAAAATCTTAGGTATTGAAAATCATAACATGTCACGGTATTCTAGCAACCCGGGATTTGAAAAAATAGAAAATATATATTTTAAGAAGCCTTTTCCAAATTTCGACAGTAATTCACGAGTACTTTAGGTATAAAAGCAAGCTAATATCCGACCACCTAGCTCCATTTGAGCTTCTATGTGTTGGACTTTAGTTCGACTTCGGATTTTGTAATTCGGATGTTCATTCCAAGGATCTCTCTCCAACTTTCATTACGTGAGGCTGTGTAAAGTGCTTCTGTGTGAAGGCACTATCTCGGAAGGAGAGTAAGTATGCACATATACATATAGGTTCTGAATATCAAAGAAGTGTAATTAAAGATTTACTACATTTTTTGTAAAGTATGTTACTTGTGATTACAGATCACCATTGTTTCCTATAAAAAATATTTTTATGACATCAGATTTTATTTTAGACTTAATACATTGTGTAGTCATCAATATTTTTGTATTATACGATTATTAATCTATAATAAAACGAATTTATTTTTTTTAGTTTATTTTAATAATGCAGACGGTTTAGAAAAGTGACTGAGTATTTTAAATCTTTTTAACAATTCTAAATGTTGATATGTAATTTGTCTAATATTACTCTAGGTAAATATAAACATTTCAATTTTTTTGTAATATCGCAATCCATAATCAGAAATTTACTTTTAAGAAATGTTTTTAACATTCCAATGTGTGATTTTAAATTTTAAATAAAATATATATGTACAAAATAATTAGTTGCCAGAGTTAGTTTTAAATTGTACCTACTCTATACAAAATTTGCCATGTACTGTTTATAAGCGCAATTCTATATTTTTGTCGATGTACCCGCACATATAAAATGTTTAAACACAGACGGACTGAGAACTACACGTTTTCTGATATCAGATGTTTTTTAAATCTCGCAACTTTTAAATTGCAGAATATAAATCTAGACACTAGAAGGTCAGCAACGTAGATTAAAAAGATCTAGAGAAACTTTTATATCAATAACTCTTACATTTAAAGCTGCCACTTTTAGTCTTCCTAGACATTTTATTTAGGTTTTTAGTATTACACTTTTCTAACATTTAACATTCCTTTGTAGTAAACAACAAAATAGACTGATTATTTTCTTAAATTTGAATGTTCACGTAAACATGGACAGGGGAATATCAATAGGTACTTGAAAATTTGACACTCTTTACTTTAAACAGTATAACATGTTTCCATAGGGTCAGAGAATGTCGAAGAACCTGTCACTAGTTGTAAATTGTTTCTGTGACTTTATTGTAAATAGACGTGATGTTTTCAACGTACGTATTTGATTAAAAAAACCAAAATGTTTGCAACGTTTCTGGAAGTCTTTAATTTTACATGAAAGGATATTATTTTTCAAAGATAGATAAATAGATTTTATAAATAAGTTACTAATCACAATACGGACGTTGATAACTGTATCATAGAATAATTACTAGTAGCTCTTAATTCGTGTCGAGATAGAAGTTTTAAATGTGCCTTATATCTTTAATTATTATATTTGAATGTTGAAATTTCTGTATATAAAGCGAAGTCTCCAACTGTATTATACATAGTATAATAGCGTAATTATCTAGAAGGCGATAAAATAGTATTTGTAAAATAAACCATTATGTTGGATTTGTATGAATGTTGTTTCATTCCACGACATCGATGGCCAAGACGCAGGCCTTGCAGAGAACATAGCTACTGTGAGGTGGCAGTCGGATCTATCTCAATTTTGACAACTTTACAGAAGAAGAAGTAAATTGTTTGCGTCATTTATATAGCATCTGCTTTATTAAATAAAAATACGTAGTTTTTAAATATTTTTATTACACATACATGTATGCGATGTATGTACACTACGTATTTTTATTTAATAAACCAGATGTTATATAAATGATTTTTCTTCGTCTTGTAAAGTTGTCAAATTTGAGTTAGTACCAGTTCACAGTCGATAGGCGAAATTATTGTTAAAAGAATTCTCTAGCGTCTTCAAACGTCAAAATTACCAGTTTCAATAAAATAAATCCAATAGATTTTTCAAATTAATAATAATAATGTGTAATAATAATAATTAATTAACGTACAGTAACAGTTAACAGTTAATCTAAACATTACAAATACACTATGAATTTAGAAATATTTTTATTAATTTTTATTAAATTAATTTTTTTTTAAATCGGACAATGACCGTTTATACGCAGACAAGTTAACTCCTAAACTAAGTAAAAACTTGTATTAAAGAAGTTAATGGTTCTTCGCTCGGAAGACATGTAGAAAAGGAGTTTTAGAAATTATACAAAAATCTGTCTTAAGTCTGGAAATAAAATCATAATTTAAAATGCCTAATTATTATGTAACCGGACTGATTTGCCACCGTTATTTGAAAGAGCGCTGACAAAACTCAAAATCGAGAAATAATGTTTAAAGAAATAAAACAAAAATCTACTTTTCTCTTGCGGTAACTTCGTAGCTTATTCACCTAGAAAAAAATAAAAATAGTGAAAGGCCTTGGTTTCCCTTTTTTTGCCATCAAAGCTTTTTTACTGATTACGGCAGTATAGCTACATATTTTTTTCGAAAAAATGTCTCCTGCGTCCTTTCAACTAACGACGGCATTACTACAACCGTCAGTTTCATGGTTTCTTAACGTTGAGCGACATCTGACCGCCGAAAAGAGATTTTCAACACCTACATATAGATTGGTCTACATTTAAGCTACTTCACGTGATATCAAATGTACTGATTCGACCGATTTACAATAAGATATTAACTGCTTTATAACAAAAAATAAAGCAGGTAATTTGTTCTCCAAATACGCCACGCGAGTAAGAGATAAAACTGACAAAAAAGTTCCCCATTTCAGGGATAGATGGCATGTTTCACGAAAAAATAATTTGTTCGTGTGTTACCAGGGCATGGTATGTATTAATTCAGTTTTCTTTTGTTATGGCTTAACTTCATGCCTTTTGAACACATCTTATAAAAAATATTTTCCTGTGAACTTACATCACAAACCCACGGCACCATTCAGCTCCTCTTAACTGTGTTCTATGGCTTCTGTAGTTTATTAACCGACTCCAAAAAAGGGAAGGTTCTAAATTCGACTGTATATTTTTGTGTTATGCTACGCGATTACTCGCATTATGATGATTTTTTTTTTTGTTGGAAAGAGGGTACCTCAGTATTGGTCCGGTTTAAATTTGAAGAAAATAATCCACCTTTATGAGTGGCAAACTAGGTGACGAATCCGGTTTCGCGCTCTTTCTTTCGACTGATTTCAATAAAACTTGGTAAATATATGTAATTCCAATAAAAAAACGATAAGCAAACTTTTGAGGTACGTTTTCTTAAATAAAAAAGTTATAATTACTTTGATATAATAGTACGCTGAATAGATGGGTATGTAATGGAAGATATAATAACAAATAATCTATTTTCACTTTCTATAACAACGTTTGATATAATTTCTAAGGATATAATGACTCACTATATATAATCAACAAAAGGCATAATTTCAATGTGTATAATAAACCTTCAGTATAACAAACATTAGATATAATGATTAGGTGACATAATGTACAAACGGTATAAGTACTACCAGTATAATGTATTAAATAATATAACACAATATTTCGTTTTACGAACAGTTGAAGCGCTTAACTAAATAAATTAGCAAATATACCTGAAAGAGATACATGACAATTCTTTATTTATTGTTTTTGTGGGTGGTTTTAATATATTTATCAAAACTTTAAGCACAATATTTAATTGCATATACTAACCTAACCTAAACCCACAAGAGGGGGTCGAATCAACTAGTAAATGCAAACAAATTCGGTTCTGGTAGTCGTCGGCCGCTGCCGTGGTACGCTCGCTGCGCTCGTACCTAACCTAACCTAAACACACAGGAGGAGGTCGAACCAACTAGCAAATGAAAACAAGTTCGGTTCATTCACCATTGCACCTAAACGCTGGTATTCGATTTGTAATACATTATACTCAGTGAATGTTATATCTGAAGGGTTTATATAAAATGAACATGACATCGGTATATTAGATTGAAAGTTCTGTATATCATCATAATATCGATCCTCTGTTATACCCAGTGACCTTTAGATCATGCAAGAATATGTCAAATATCTGTATATCTGTATACCATTTCTTATATCTGTTGAACGTTATATCGACTAAAAATATGTCATTCCTTGTTATATAGGTATTTCGAACCGCACCCCTGAATAGATATATTTAATTCTGGAATATATTTAATTCCAGACGTCTCAAAATAGTAAACCCAGAACCAAATTTGTTCAGGAATTTAAAATCTATATTTTCACATATTTTTCGTAAACAGACGCATGCAAATGATGTCAATAAAATTTTATATGGGAGTTCAACATTGTTCTTTGTATAGTGGCCTTCTGGCTTTTTTTTCTATTAGCACTGTGGGCTAGCCCTAATTTCCGGTAGAATCAATATAAAAAATGAACTGTTATAAATTGGTACTTGTCTAGGTGTTTTGGGCAATGCGCCAGAGTGAATTCGTTTACTCATAGTACTTGCGTTTTTCTAGTTTGAGACCAGGTAATTGGCGTAGCTGACATATTATTATTATTCACACATTGGAAACACTGTCGCAACTACAATCCACTGAAAGGACAATGGTCAAATATAAATAGATTATCGCTCATTATGATTATAATTTTGTAGTGGAATGTGGACAGTTAACAGCTGACCATTTAGTATGTAACCGCTTTGAACTACTGGGAGAAGAATATCGAAGTAGAAAACCTGTAAGTAATAACCATGAAAGTTTGGAAAAATCCTCATTAGAAATAAAGATATGAATATATGATAATATGAAGTGAAATTACGGAGACATGGGACTTGTCAACTTGATTCTTTGCGATTTGAAGTTCTGAAAGGCACTGCGATTGTTATGAATAGGCGTGTCGCTTACCACCAGGCGCACGAATTGTTCGTTCCGTCTCTTGCTGTTATTAAAAAAAAACTTAAATGCGTGTATTATATGACAATAAGAAGACATCATCAACATTTGTGATTATATATACAATATACAGGGCGTCTCACGGCTATGGGACACGGAGATATACTACATACAAGAGTACAACAAGCTTTTCTCCGAAAAGCGCCTCCTTTGCTACATTGTATACCATGATGTGCTACTGTCTGTATTGTAGAAAGGATGTTTTGCTTTATGAAGACATTATTTTATTCATAAAAGTAAGTAATACTGCTTTCAAGCGTTTTTAAAAAGCTGCTTGTCTATCTCGAAATCAATCCGACCAAATGTAAACAACATCCTTCTGTGATACCGATCCAAATGCTTTAACAATATTTAAGGGATAACAATATTTAAAGTTAACAATATTTAACCGAATGGTGGCCAAGAAATGGATATA